TCCTTCTGGGATATGCTATCCTCCTGGGATATATCGTGTAGTGAGTGAAAGCTCTGCCTCAATTTTCCTTTCTATCTCAATAAACCTAAGTGCTTCTAGCACTTTAATTATTTTGATCCGGATCAGTATTTGAGATAGTAAAGAAATCAACAGGCAAGTATGTTGTCGACAACTATTATATTCAATTGATATTTTTCTCTCAACCGTTTGCTAGCCATATTTATAATCATTTTCCGTAACATCTAATTTTAGCTGTTCCGCATTTCCAGTACTACAATAGTTTGATGCACGTGCAAGATGTACTGGATCAACTCTTCAGGAGTTTATTATAAAGGAGTGTTNGGATATATCGTGTAGCGAGTGAAAGCTCTGCCTCAATTTTTCTTTCTATCTCAATCAACTTAAGCGCTTCTAGCACTTCTATTCTTTTTTATCCGGATCTTTGAGACAGTTAAGAAATCACATAGGCAAGTATGTTGTCGACAACTGATATTCAATTTATATTTTTCTCTCAACCATTTGATAGCCATATTTATAATCATTTCCCGTAAAATCAAATTTTGGCCGTTCCGCATTTCCAGTACTATAATGGTTTGATGCACGTGCAAGATGTACTGGATCAACTCTTCAGGAGTTTATTATAAAGGAGTGTTAATTCTTGAATATACATTTTTCGCGGACTTTCATACATCATATTAATTATATCACCTTATGCTTCAAGCATTAAGGAGTCAATTATTCCCTAGGGAGTTTGCTTACTCTGTGGTACATCTATATATTTACAAATAGGTCACTCCATTATAACTACAGATTTCGCTTGGCAGAGATATAATATGAACTTCAAGTTCAATTTTTATTGCGTGGTTTGAAATAATGAAAACATTAATATTTCACATATTTCGCGGTATTAATAAACTCATGCTCATATCTCCCCCTAATGCCGTGAAATTATCTTCATATATTATGCAAAAAAAACGTACCAAGGAATAAATTGATCCCCTATAATGGCCTCTAGGTATTAAAAATTCGACGGAGTATAAAAATCATAGCATACCTAGTCTGTAATATAGGCCCGTAAAGTTACGAATTGGTGGTGATATAAAATGGTGCATAATAATAATAAATTGCAGATGGGAAATGTTCAATCCTCCACGCATTTTAGGGGAAAATTATCATAAATAATTGCCCAATGTGATCCAACNAACGTACCAAGGAATAAACTGATCCCCTATAATGGCCTCTAGGTATTAAAAATTCGACGGAGTATAAAAATCATAGCATACCTAGTCTCTAATATAGGCCCGTAAAGGTACGAATTGGTGGTGATATAAAATAATAATAAATTGCAGATGGGAAATGTTCGATTCTCCACGCATTTTAGGGGGAAATTATTATAAATAATTGTCCAATATGATCCAACTGCTCATGCCAATTATCATAGTTATAAGTTGGGCATCGAAATATAATAATATATTTCTAGGTGAACACTATATGCTTCAAGCACTACAATTGAACTTTTGCTTGTTAGCTTTTAATTGTAGCTATCAACAATATTATGTGCTTCGGGCACTACACATAAATTTATTATCATAGCTATCAATAATACAAGTCATTGGTATGCATTTTATCAAATATACAAGCAAACATAAATAATTTCAGAATACTTATGTATTGATCCAATCTTTGTAACATTCTGGTTACATCACTTCATTAAGAATATACAGAGCTGATCTAAAATCAAAATATCATAAATTTATCCAAANCAATGTTTCAAAGACACTCGCTAGATAATATTTATGCAATTATTATAATGGTCAACAGGACCAATCCTTCATGGATAACCAAATCTAGCTCAATAAGATATTCAAATACACTAGTGATACATTAATCATTCAGGGAAAACTCAAATCTATAGGCATAAAATTTAACAGGATATTTGCTCTGCAATTCATGACAGAATTAGAAAATAACTATACATGTTGCAAACCATTCATTTGGTTCATTAGTCAGTTAGAGACTAATGACAATTGAAGTATAAAAGATTTCATTATATAAGATATATAATATTTTTCTTCATTCATCATTGAAAATAATCTATATCTAGAGGATAGTATCTACTGGACATATACGTGTGTTACCATTTTTAAATATTAACAAGTAACGTGAAGAATAATATTATACATATCAAACAAGAGATATTCATATACAAATAAGGACATATAAATCAAGGAAACGTATTGTCTTACAGAATAGAGATAATATTTTATCATATTATAAAGATGTGTCATACATTGAGCTATGTAGAATCATTTACATATATCCAATATTTCCACAATGTTTTGTATATAATCTTCCTCTCATACACAATAGACATACTTATAAGATCACATCAATTTTTGTAGCACTAAAAGCACTAGACAAAAATACATTTCAAAATTTTTGAATCATGTCAGTGAAACTATAATCTTGCAGATTATATAATCCATCCTTTAACTACATAATTTTTTAAACAACCCTATAATAATTCAATAATGACCAGCTATTAGAAAATTAATTCAGCCACTTTGGTGACTAACAAACTAATTTTCTCTTAATGTCACATAATAAATAATTATAGTGTTAAAACAAACTTAACACCTTCGACTTTCAGCAATTTAAACTAATTCATGCTCAAATCCTTATTAAAATCCTCAAAACACATTCATAATTCGCATTAAAGGAGATGAACAATAATTGATGCGCCCATGTTGCAATTTGAACAGACATAAATCAATCATGCGTGGCAAAACAAAGCAACAGNTCAAAGCCTTAACATAAAACATGTTGGGAGAAAATAATTCCTCAACAATTAACATGACTACATGTTGGGAGAAAATAATTCCTCAACATTTAACATGACCATCTAATCCACTAATATGAAACTAGTAGTTGATATATTTGCGAAATTCCCCATTCTCATTGAACATTAACCAAAGCAAGCAGATTCAATTATCTCATATACACCACCTTAAAGCTCATTATATCACAGAAACATACCAAATATCATATTCGATGCCTAGTCTTTCTCTTTAAGCATAAGATAGAAATAATCATATATTTACGAAAGGGATTGAAATACCTCGACGGAAATTTGATAAAATTAATAGATCATAATAAATATTGAATAGATCTTGAATGTTACCTTGACAGAAAAGACACGATTCTTTTCTAAGGCATACATCAATTTTGATTGTTACCTTGATTGCCCGTTCGTCTTGCCGTTCGCTTAGAGGGTAGAGTACTCGTGCTGATAACGTGTTGTAAATTGGGATCCTCAAGCATTCATCAATTCACACCAAACAAAGTAAAGAGAAACGAGTAAGAGAACAAGA